CGTAGGTCGAGGGTTCGAATTCCACAAAAGCCATAGGTGTCTTACCCTGTGGTAGGAGCGCAGTTGACTTCTGGGCACCTCGTGTCCTCTCTGAATATCGTATCGTGCACAATGCTATTTCATTTCACACTTCCCATGACTTGTCCAACAACGGAAGGCATCGGCAAACCTCCTCTTGCAGCCTGTCCTGAAAAGAAAAGAGCGTAAAACTAAGAATCCTCTCTCACCTCCGCCCGGTTGACTGATTACTTTGGGTTTCCGAGCGCATCATCACTTAAGGTTGTTTCTCCCGTAAATAAAGTATATGTTTTACGAAAGGTGACGGTGTCGTTTCCCCGCTGGGTGGCGAGATACGGCACCGACCTACACGCCATTGTGCGGCCCCAGGCAGGTATTCCCCGTCGGCGGGTCACCTCCCCAGCCGGGACAAGCTCTTACGAACCTCCGACTGGACTCCCGACATGAGTTACTGTAGAGCGTGTGTAAGTAAGGTGTGAGGACAGGGCAAGGAGGAGGAAGGAAAGATTGACTCGCGATCCTTGGCCCGTATGTTATGGTTCCACTTCCAATTCGATCTAGCTAGTGTCAAAAAACCTGACACCGTCAGAAAGCGAACCCTAGGATCTCTCTGTCAGAGGCATTATAGTGACATAGTAGTGACAAACATGTCTATCTTCAATTTTGTAGTTCAATTTTTTTAAAGAAGTGTGAAGAATTATTACTATTACATGAGTGAAGAAAAGTTAAAGGAGAAATTTGGAGCAGGTTTGAGATGTTTTGTACATTTCAATTGCAAAATACGCAAAAAACACTCGCTCTTTCGAAAAAGTGTACTTGACCTTTTTTGAAGAGCTAATTTTGTACCTCAGACTTTGAGTCTTTTTTTCAATTTTCTAAAAATCGCGGATGTAAACGAAAATGATACTTACATAATTCTCTTAAACGTCCTTTGCACTGTTCAACAACAAAATTTAATTTTACGGTAACTTTTAATTAATCAAAAAATTTGGAGCCATATTTATAAAATATTGAAAATGCTCAAGCGCCTTCATGTGAAGTACCCTCAAAATAAAAAAGTCAAATTCGAGGATTCGTGACATCTAGAAAACGATTGTGGAAAACCAAGTTTGGAGAAAATCGGCTACATGGTTTATGCGCTAGTGTTGTGCACAGACAGACGGAAGGACGGACGGACGGACACAGACAGACACTTTGCAGTCAATTGATTTTTCGGTATGAATGATTCATAAAACATGAATTCTGGCTTCACCTCGTGTTAGAGGATTTTTTGCTATATTTAACAACTTTACTTCCTTCCTTACCGGCAATAACAGTTTTTGTGACAAAAATTCGCAGTTTTCTGGCGCACGATTACAATACTTTTCCTTTTTACGTTAGTAAGAGCGCGAAAAAAATAAAAATTATGATATTGTGCATACTATTTCTTAAAGGTGTGATTGCGTGTGCAAAAGAATGGTTTTTGGTTGAACAGAAATTGAATAACTTTTTTTTGGAAGGGGGCAAACGAAAAATTTTTGTCAGAAAACCTGGGCAAACGATAGGCAAAGGATGTACAAAGTTTGTTTAAAATCCCAGCTTTTTCCAGCCAACTGCACGGAGGTGCGTAGGGAGCGCATCGCTCGTAGCAGGGAAGGCTTGTTGACTCAATGACGTTGACGAAGCTGCGGCTCTCAGTGAGTTTCAAGCTGTCCATCTTAGAAAGACCCCTGATATATTCATTAACCCATCTTTCATCTCTCGGTTCCTGCAAAGGATCAAATCCCGTTCGATCCATCTGACATTGTTACTGCAAAGCGGGTTTGGGGCTGGTATTTTCTCGTTTCCCCTTCCCTTTCACTCCAACATTTTTCCATTACTGAATAAAATTGTAGGCACTACCCTATCGTCATTGATCTATCAAGACCACTATCAAGGGCTAGGGCTTAATCGATTTGATGGAGATTAAATCAACAAGCTTATGGGCCGCCAGTTGAACAACCCTGGCCCACAGCACACACTGGGATGATTTTGAGTTTCTGAATTTACTAAGGGAAACTCCTAAATATAAACGTAACCTATCTTTGCATTAAGAAGCTGTTGACTCCGACAGAGTGCGAGCGGTAGGTGCGTAAAATTCTCGCCCGACATGGATGCAAGGGACTTTCACTTCTGACTAATAACCTTTCGCGGGCCACATTAAATAGAACCGCGAGACTCATGCGGCCCTGGGGCAGCCAGTTGAACAACCCCGGCCTACAGCAACGATGAGCGCTGCAAACGCGATTGGGCGTGTCTAGCGTGGCGAGGCGAGTCAGGAAAGAGTGGAACTGAGCGGTTGGAACAGGTCGGTGGTATCGGTGAAAACGCATAGTATTGGTCAACTTGGGGCGGGGTAGAGAAAACATACCCTGCCAATGTCAATCTTCCCTTTTCCTGTTCAAAAGATGATTGTGATAAATAAATAAATACCTACACAAGTCTTTACGGGGCCACAAGTAAAGACACACATAGCAACACACGACACACAGGAGCACAGACACACACACACACACACACATATATATATATATATATATATATATATATATATATAATATATATATATATATAATATATTCCCTATAATTCTCTTATTTGATATAGCTGCTCATTGTTATTTGATTTTTCAATAAATATGATACAGTTTCATTATAGAGTACGCGAGCTTGACAAATGACGCATACAATTCCAACCGAAGCTTTAAAGCGAAATTAATCATTCTTGATTAATACATAATTGATTTAATGTTTTGATTAGTTTTTCTGAGAGCGTCATCTTTTAAGGTCATTAGTCCCATAAGTTACGTGATTATTTAGCGTTAGTTCCAGCGGGGCACTGCCCCAGCTCGGACAAGCGCTAAGCTCCCGACTGCTCTCCCGACATGTGTAGTATGTGTAGTCTCCTGACATGTGTAGTAGACATGTGTAGTATGTAGTGTAAGTGCGGGTATGAGGAAGGGATGAGGATAGGACAAGGAAGTGAAAGGAAAGATCGCGAGTGGTTAGGAAAGTGCTCCGGCATTCCCCTGGAGTGCATCGGAGCAAACACGGAAAACTACCGCTCAGAGAATCCGGCTGCTAGGATTCTCTTCCAGACAGCAGCAGGACTTGACCTAGCTATCTAGAGTCGAAACTCCTGCCTCCGTCTAGCTCGAATCCTAGGTGCTCCCGGTTAGAGGTTATAAAATGTCATCAGTTGACGCTCTAAGACGCCGAAGCCCATCATGCAATGGGTTTTTTTAATACACACCAAGTAAGTTTGTATTGAAGTGTATGACGTTCGCTCGTGTCCGTACACTTCATCACGTTCGTACGTGGTATAGTTAACGCTCGGGGTTTAATAAAGGGATAATTTTCTCTCGGGTTTTAATAAAGGGTGGGATTTGAATCTGTTAATAGACACTGGGGTTCAAGACACTTCAAACAAAATTTGTTCTCCATAGTGAGCACTTTCATTAAGGTCCTGTACATTATTTCGAAAATGTCAGTAGTTTTATCGCAATACTGCGGGCAATAAGTCGTGGGAGGGAATAAGTCGTGGGAGGGAATAAGTGGAAGACTAGACAGTCCTGCACGTATAGGGAGAAAAGATCATAATTGGAAATAAAAACTAAACGGCAGCGAATTGATACCGGTAAATATTCATTTGTAAATCGCACAATTAGGGATTGGAACGAAATACCTGCAAACAGTCATGGAGCCCTTTCCCAGGATGTAAAGTGTTTAAAAATCGCTTAAGAAGTCTCAAATAGTATTTTATTTTTATTTTTATTTTCTTCAAATTATTAGCTTTTTTTTAGTGAAGTGAAGTGCAGATCCAGGGAAATTCAGCGTGATATGCAACATTAACAATGTTAAAAATAAAATAAAATATAGCGGAGTTGTGGGCTGGGCGTTGCAGTGTAGTGCAGTGTAGTGCAGCGTAGCAAGACGTAGCAGAAGTGAATAAAGTAAATGAAATAAAATTTAAGATTAGAATTGATACAATAGAATACGATAGAGTATAATTAGATGTTATTAATTAGCTGTAAGTACATTTTTGGAGTGTATATAGTATGTGTGTATATGTGTAGGTGTGTGTGTGTGTATATACGCGTATACGCACATGTACGTGTGTATATGCATATGCGTATGTATATGTGTATATGAGTATATATGAATATGTGTGTGTATAAATATGTATGTATGTTAGTATGTGTGTGTGGGCGTGTGAGTATATACGTATTTGTGGCGTGGTGCGTGCGTGTTTGGGTGTGTGCAGAGAGTCTGAGTTTCACATGTGTACGCGTGAAATGGAGGCTTTTTTGCTATGCTGGGGTATACAGTGTTCTAGGTAAATACATTATATTTAATTTACATTTTATTAATGAAATTAATTGGCTACCACCTGGCAAAGACGCCAATTGTGGCCAAAATAAATAAATATATATACTTAAATAGATTTAGATTTATTTAGATCCCCATCTCGATCAGGTTTTTGTCCAGTTTCCCTGATGCATTCAGCAAATGCTGAGATCATCACCTTGTTTTGCTTCTGGGCGTAATGTTCTATTCACTATGCGCACGTTATGTTGAACTCTCCTTTTGCTTGTAATGGTAGGAGTAGAGGTTAAGGACGAGCTACTATTTTGTTAGCAATGCAGAAAAATCATAATTGCAATTCGTTTGCCATTGCAAATAAGTTTTCTATAACTCGGGAACGAAAATGTCTATTTTTTCAAATACTGCTAATCTCTCGCGTTTTTAAAATTCAGTTTAAACTTTTACTCATCTTTCAACTATTTATAGTTACAATAACGGGAAGGGATTCTGGAACTCAAGAAAAGGCGCGTAGAGGATCTTCTGCTCCATACGTGACATACAGATTTTTTACTGTTTTTTTTGACTAAATAAATCTAAACACCCATCACTTCGCCATTGCCACTGAATGTACTGACACTGCCGTGGCGCCGCTTCGTTGCAGACCCGCGCGCGCAGCCCCTGCCGCTGGTGCAGCGGCCGTTCACGATCCTGGGGCTGATGGCCGGCTACACGCTGTTCGTGACGCGCCTGGGCCCCTGGCTCATGCGCGACCGCCGCCCGTACGAGCTCAAGCGGACGCTCATCGTGTACAACGCGCTGCAGATCCTCACCAACCTCTACATCTTCCAGGTGACTGACTAGCCTTTTCACGCAGAGCGTCGTAACGAGGAAATGACGAGACGGCGAACAAATCAGACACGGTTCCATAATTTCGGGTGAAAAAGATCAGGAATTCTTATTTTCAGGGGAATAGAGATTGTTTTTTTTTCTTTTATAAAGGAAAGGGTGAGGTACTCAACTGACCAAATGGTTTCATGACAAATCGAAATAGGAATTTCAGAAAAGGGATAGGTGCCTAATGGTATGAAGAAATGATTCGGTTTTCAGCCAATCTCAGCTGTCTATGAGCAATAAAATATCAAATGCCTCCGACAATTTTGCGAGTAGGGAAGGTTGCCAACCGAGGACGAATAAAAATTTTTTTTAACGCGCCCCGTACGTGAAACAGTTTTTTCGTGTTCAAAATACCTAATTTTTTCAAGTGTGAGAAGCGTATATCTTCATAGTTATTTACGATATGTGTTGTGAAGCATCTGATTACAATAAGAGATTGAAAAATCGGCCTCGACCTGACGGCCTCGTTTGGTAACCAATTGAGTATTGTAATCGGATGTTACGACACGAATATCGTGCAACGTTTTATTCACTTTGCAAACATTTTTTAGATTTATTATGAAATTTTATCTTACGCCTTTATTTAGTATCCAGTTTTTTTCCAGTATTAGTGAGGACACTGATCTCAACAAGGAAACAATTGATACAATTGATGTATACTTTTCGACATCAGTGAACATAGGTCTGATTCGGAAAGAAGTAGTAGCAAATGCTGCTATAGAAACATTTTTACCCAACAAATCAAGAAAAAATAAGCGAGAGTATTTACTTTTTAAAGATTGGTGTGACAACAAATGTTCCCACCATATCGGAAAAAGTTTTGATAGCTTAGTTTTCAGGCAAGTCAGATAAGGAGAAACCAAGTAGTCTTGTGACCCATTACTCTAAGTTAAAGAGTGCAATATGACTTAATGGCAATTCTGATATCAGTAAGTTACTTAGTTATTAGCTTTTTTAAAGAGGAAAAGTAAAGGATACCAGACAAAGATGTTCAAATAGTTTCAAAAGAAAAATGGGAAAGTACGTCATTACATTACCACCCTAGTGTCGTAAAGAAGTACATTACCGCACTAGGGCCGTAATGTAGTTAATTATGAAACAGATAATGGCGTAATGTTTGGCTCCACCTAACCAACGTGGATAAATAACTTTTTTTTGACTCTACTGTTACCATCTTTTCACCATGTAGCTATTACCCACGGGGAACTAAGGAACACAGCATTATATTAAAATTTCATGAGTTGGTTAATCTGTTATAGATCTCGTTTGACAACGCATACAGCGATTTTACATTTAGCACATGCATCGTATTCTAGCTAAAAAACAATCAGCCAGCCACGTAGCAAAGGTTCCATGTCAAAATATATAGAATTAACTTTTAATACATTCAAAACCTGCATTAATCAATTGATACTTTATTTCGAACAATGTGCATTAATTGTAATTGAACAATCTATTAAAGTGGTGTCCGTTGGTAATTTACATTCACTTCGGAAAATAATGGGAGAAGCAAGTTTTCTTCGACACTTCTTAACCCTCTCGCATCTCACCACTTACGAAATTCCCTATATTCTTTCAAACTCACACACACACACTTATGGAAATGTGTCAAAAGTTGCGGCCTTGCGGACTTACTTTTTCTCATATATCGGGCGACGTCACGGGAAGGCACACAGGTCACAAACAAGTGTTTCACATTTGGCTTTTTTGTTTCTGTTCCCAGTTGTAGCTTGAAAATCCACATCAAGAACAATGGAAACTCATGTATATAGAATATCAGCATAATGTGACTACCTACTTCCTGTTGCTTTCTTCGTGATTGTGAAGAAAGGTGTACATAAAAAAGCAACATTGTGTTTTTTAACGTGTGGTGTTAAAATTATCTAATTTATCGACAATACACGTACCTAATCTCGTATTCCTTAAAGCAATATTAGCGATTCTAATGGATTCAAACAGGTAGGCAGACGAGAGAAATCACGACTGATAAAAATTGTCAATATTTTAATAATTTGAAAGGAAAGCTTAGCTTTATAAGAATGTTTGGTACATTCTGTTAATAATAAAGAATACAAAATATCCAAGTTGATCGTTAATATGTGCGTGTAAATATGCCCTTTATATAAAATGTATCTACACAAAATTCCGAATATTTGTATACTATCTTTCATTAATATGCAAACATTATTATATGTGATATTCTTATACACGGAGACACATGAATCAACAAAAAATAAAATATTTAATAAAAAAATAATTAGGAAAATTTGAATTTATATTTCGTGTTTTCTGCCCGCAGATTGCATCAATTCTTTCCATAGCTGCAGCTCTCTCAGAGCCATCAGCCTTTGGTCTAGTAAGCCGAGACACTCCTTCGCCGGTGCCAAAACTGAAGTTAATTTAGCAAACATATGTGGACGTTCTATTACCTCGGCTCTTTTGTTCTTGAAGACACCTTTTCATTAGAATTATACCTAGTCATCATTGCGCTGACAACTTTACCTCTAAGGAAACAGCTACCAATTCTGGAAAGCCATCGTGTCTCAGGTTCATCCTGTCTCAACTTTGACCCCTTTACATCATTTCCGTTACGTTGCTGCTTCAAACAATACACCGTTTTGTCTTTTCACTTATAAGGGGTGAGAAAAGAAACCACTTTTAACAGGATAGAGTAAAGGAAAGATTATTTCTAACTACATCGATTTCCCGAGGAATAATCATTTCTTCTGGTGTGAATCAAGTGAAACCAATAAGCAATTTTATGAATGTATATACTGTGAAAACATATTTTTTAACACCGCAGTTTAAAAAAAATATTTTTCTTGTACAACACTTTAATCATTTGATTTAATTTTCAGGGCTTCTGTCAATTTTGGTTTACGACCTACAATTGGCAGTGTGAACCGATTGACTGGTCGGATTCGGCGAGTGCTTTAGAGGTAAAACTAACCACTGATATAATTTATTGTTTTTTCGTAAGTTATTCATTACCTTTAATTTTATTCTTGGTTGTCTCAATCAAGCATCTATGCTAAGAATTACCACATTCTTCAAAATTGTGCTTGATATTAATGCCAAATTAGAATTTGTGTATCTATGATTAATGTCAGATTCTTCACAATTTTGAATCACAAATTGAGAGATTTATATTCTATCTCATATATTGATATAATAGTGGTCCATTTCATTTTACATAGGTACGTTAAATACAAAATGACAATACGTAAGACTATGAAGTAATAATAACAATAACAATAATAACAATAATAATAATAATAATAATAATAATAATAATAATAATAATAATAATAATAATAATAATAATTGATGCTCACGAGGTGCACGGAATAACATTTTTTTTTCATTTGCGCGATGCTACACAGTATGAGTATCACTTCACCCGCACACGGTGAGTTCCACAACGATCGGAGAACTGAGAAAACACGATGACAGGCAATATTTCTCATTGTTTCAAGCCGTTTTCGCAGCAACGCAAAAGGTGCATTTATACGCCTTTGCGACATACCGTGCGAACTCGCATAGGGTAGACGAGTAATTCGCGAATATCCAACAGCCGTTTAATAGTACCGTGCTCTCCGTTTCAAAACCACAGTGCAATGGGCAATGGCAAGCATACAGGTTTCGTGCGAAGCGACTAGGAAACTACCGCCTTTTGTTATGATTTCTTGAGATGAAAACTACCAGAAATCGGCGGCGTCGGATGAAGCAGTCGGATGAGCCCGAACCGCACGACAAAGATGGGCACAGATGGGTCGGGAGACAAATTTTGAACGTCATAAAATCACAGCGTCGGGGTGCAACACCATTATTACTTAAATACCTTTATGGTCAGATGCACATTAGTATTGGCTCGACTTGTGAAGGTGACATCCCGTTACCGTGCCAAGAGCAGTACTGTCCTCGCGCGCCATTGCACACTACCTTCCTCGACACATCCTGATGTAAATATTTCGTATAGACCTACACTTGCCAATCGTGTTTTCATAGTTATAAATCTGTCGCTTCCATTAATCAACGTTAGATCCACTACCTTAGTGTGCTGGTAAAATGATACTCTGTATTTTCCAAACATTCCATTTCATTAATATAGAAATATCTTCCAGATCTTGAAGGATTGCGCCAATGGCAGTATAAATGTGAGTCGTGTATTTTAATCATAACGTTCAGCTATGTTTGCTAAATGACCAAAAAATGACATACATTTAAATTGTCATCAGCACAATCCATCAACAACTGGAGAATAATGTTATATAAGGTGTGCAGGGAGATCGATGAATTTCAATAATTCTGTATCATTATCAGTCTACTTTAAAACATCTATCGATATTACACGATAAAGGTTGCTTTAATTCATATTAGGTTAATCAAATATGAACGAGACTTTTTGAAAACAATTTTACTGAATATCAGAAAATCAAAAAACAATGTAGACTACTTTTCTACATAGCATCTACTATTATTTACACATTTTTGCCACTTTATTGGTAATTTCATAATTCCGTTTTCAAAAAAGTTATGTTAACGTGTATAGTCATTTTCGCGCCAAGTCTTCCACCTCCTAATTATTGGAAGATTTCTCGCCAACCAAGTCCTCCTTATGTGTTCCGCAAAGATAGTAGCCTGAAGGCGACAAGTCTGGGCTATAGAGAGGATGCTCCCACGCTGTCCAGTGTAATTCCTTCAATATTGTTTACTGTAGATCACAGTTGCAGAATGGGGCTTTGGGTTGTCATGACGAAAAACACTGCCCATTGAATTCCTGCGTCTTTCCGACCAGTAGACATATTTAACCTTTCTCAGGAGCTCACAATTGTAAGCTGCATTAAGTGTTCGTTGCTCGTGCAGGAAATCAGCGTACACCACCTCACTGGCATTCCGAAAGACAGTCATTGGAACACGAGCAGACAACGAGTCTTTGATTTGAGTGGCGCTGTTTCATATTTTGATCACCATTCCATATTAGGCTTCTCTTCTTTTCAGGAGTTAGTGGTGCACCCACGTATAATCACATGTGAGAATATGTCCTAGAAATGAGTGTCTTCTGCACCATTACGATCCAAAAATATTTGAGAAGCTTCCATTTTTGAAATCTTCAGAGTTGCATTCAAAAGCTTCGGTACTTACCTCGCACAGATTTTCCGATACTTTAAGTGGTTTCTGATGTTTGTTTGCACACTGCCATCAGATAATGAAATTGTTTCACACACATCACGAACAGTTATTTGTTGTCATCAAGAATAACGTCTTCCACTCTTGGAATGTTGTCCAACGTAATGCTCGTCCGTGGACGTCGAGCACGAGTGCGGTTGGTCACGCTCTTACGGCAGCCACTAAACAACTTGTACCGTTTGCAGACTTGAGCCTTCGAAATGGTCTCACCGCCAAATTGATCACGCAATCACTTTAAAATTTCTTATGGTTTCATATTTTCTTCGCCAAAAAACGAATAATAATGCATTGCGCAACTAATTTTTTCATTTATTTCTGCTTGGTCCGAAGCCCTCAGCAGCTCAGTACTTGAGGGTGTAATGAATTACATTAGCCTTGTTTAAGGAACATTATCACAGATGAATACACTGAGTTCGTGAATGAAGCCACATCGTGTAACATGATGATCGGGGGATCGGGGGGGGGGGGGTCGAAGAACTGTCGCGTTTAGTTTAGTTTGTTGTGGGGAGGATTGTGTTTTCCGATTTTCAAATATACGGCTGAGGGAATCTGGGGAATTTTAGGATAGAAACGAGTAGATAGGAGGGAGAAATAGTCGGAGATCGGAGTGATGCAGAGTCCGTTATGTAACTGGGAGTTAGGTACAAACCGGGGAACTTTTGTAATTGTTCGGAGGAATTTATTTTGAAAAATATACATTTTTGGAATATGTGATTTGCTGTTTAAAGCCCAGATAGAAGAAACGTATATGATTGATTGAATCATTTATTGGTATACATGAAAAGTTACATGAAGTCGTAGGGGTGAAGACTTTTTGAATATGGGATGTAATTGGTGGGTTCTACGAGTGGTCAGAGTAATTCTGAGAAGAATATTTGAAACGAGTACCTCTTGTTCATTCATGGTAATAAGGACTCCAGAAACAAAGTGCAACACTGATTGGAAATAAACACTACAACCAAATGTAGGCATTTTTCACGTAACTGACGTCAGAAAAATATCACGTTGATTACAAAAGCCTCGATCATATTTGATCATTCTATTACTACAATACAAAAGAGTACAAGTAAAATAAGGTATGCTCTTAATTTAAATTATTAGGACCTTCATGGTGTGATTGAATTAATAGTTAAATAGTATTACAAATGTCATGAAATTTTCAGTCAGAAGTTGGAAAATAAAATGTGCTATTGCATCAATAAAATATATATTAACATTGATGCAGATGTACGACACGATCTAAGAAATAAGTATCAACCCATATACAGTTTTAAAAAGTAACGGAAATGAAAATAATGTAATAATATAAGCGAATAACTAGAAATTCTACCAAGGTAGTCTAGAGATGGTACTACATTCAGTAATCAAATGTGTCAAGCATCCTTTTTGGTTCTCCTCAACACGCTTGCCCATGGTATATAATGAAACAGATATAGTTTTGGTGACATATATAAAATTGTTTAGTTCCATTCATTGTATTTAATGTTCCAAATTGAGGTATTTTTTACTATACACACAATTCAGCAATAATGTATCCGGCAAAATATTTAAAGTTAATCAAGTGAATGTTTCATAAAACTATCTGTATTTAAAGTGGACAAAAAAATCAAGCACTAAATTACATGTAAGAATCACTAATTATTTAGGAGTTTTTTTAAAAGTTTAATGTCTCTGCAGATGCTGCGGCTGGTGAATCTTTACTTCTGGTTGAAGATTGCGGATTTATTGGACACCGTATTTTTCGTTCTTCGGAAGAAAAAAAATCAAATAACTTTCCTACACTTGTATCACCACAGTATGATGGTACTTCTCAGCTGGATTGCAATCAAATTTTTTCCAGGTGATATTTTAAAGTTGGTTCGCAACAAGTCATATCTGTGTTGTGTGGAGGAGACTTTGTACCAGATATTTTCTGACAATATTCTGTACTTTTTTTAAGGAATATGGATAGAGGTATCCCAAATATATGTGAATTAATTAGGGGATGCTCTCGAGGCGTTTCTCTGAAGTTGGATCATTTCACAAAAATCAGATTTGAATTCTGCAATTATAAAGTCAACATCTTTGCTAGTTAGATGTATTTTTCTCTGTTTTATTAACAAGTTTTCAAATGAAACATTTAGTTTACTGTATGTTACAAATTAACCTTTCAGTTTATAATATGTTATATAACTATATCGCAAATCTCTTAGAATGATTTCTGATCATTAAGAATTTCAACTCGTAGATCTGAAACGCCATGCACCAATTGAATAATATCTCTTCAAGGATATACAAACAGATGACGTTGTCACTAAAAACCCATGAAAATAAAGAAATAAAGTTCTATTTAAGACATCATTAACAGATAATTAGGATGAAAGTAAAAGTAAGTATATTTTAATGACAAATACATGAATAAATATTTTGAATATTTTAAAGTCTATAGCATTTAATCTTTCGTTCGCATGCTATTATTAATAAATAATTATATAATAATAATATATAATAAGTTATACAATATTAATAATAAAGACGTATTATTTCTGTAAAAAAACAAATACAAAAGCATTTGCATTCATAAAACTTGCACATAAACGAATGATTCCAACCAATGAAATATTCCAATAACAATAAACTATTATTATCTAAGACCTCGAGAATGAAGCAAATAATCCTAGCAAATAATTGATTATTGAAATCTGCCTCACATCTGTCACATAATTTCCCCGTAAGAGATGTGGCGTGCTACATAAATAAAATGCAAATACTAACATTAAACATGTAATTGAATGGGGCATTACTAAACGTTTTCATATTCCTCATATTTTTTAAATGACATACTATAACGTGTATTAAACTACAGTAATATAAATTGAATACTATCATGTTATGACTGTCTTATTATTAAATATATTTAGTAAATATGATTCCATATATATTTATAAATAGATCATGAAGATATTTTACGTGTTTTTACTCATTTCTTAACCTCAATAATTTGACTCTCTATTAATAAAGAACCATATTTAGATAATATAATTGAATACTACTTTTTCAATATAGTAATTTAATTTAATTTCTAAAACATTAAAATGTGTATATTTTGGCGTTTTAATCACACTCTCAATTTGTATTGCTTCATACAGGAGGCCACGCAACCTTTTTGGCTCTCATCAACACGCTTGTGCATGCTATAATGTACGCCTATTACCTCATTTCGGCAGTATATCCCCACACTATTTGGTGGAAGAAGCATGTGACACAGGTGCAACTGGTAAGTTGATAATTGCGTGTACGATCATTTTCAGCATCATCGTTAGTTATAAGACATAAGTTATAAGATTATATTTTCGTGATTTTCTCTTGCAAACGAAAGATAATGAAATTCTAAATTAAATTAAATTACATCCTTATTCCCTTAGATCGTGACAAGTTAAACAATCGTTTTATCTAGTGTTTCACAGTGTACAATCGAAGTGTTTCTTAGTTCTTATCTAGTGTTTCTTAGTACACAATCGCAGAAGATAGGATAGAGAAGGGTAAGGGAAGTAGTTATGGTCGGTAAAATCCTGGTTTAAGAGATCGGCTAAACTCACTGTCGAAAAACTAGTGGTGCGTCAACATACTATCTCGCATTATTTGTAACGGGTACACACTATTGTAATACAACAAGACTCTGTTAAAGAGTTTTCAATCAACAAAAAATGTATTTCTCCGCTTGGATTAGAACGCAGATCTCATAAACGCAAGTCGCGATTCTCCTACCCCACCGAAAGACGTTACACGCAGAATCGTTCACTAAAGGATTTGTTCACACGGTAATCAGCTATTTAGATCGTATGGTTAGGTGTGTCAAGGTAGGATTGTGTAAAATGATATTGTGACAAACTACCTCCTGCTCGCCTCCGCGCAAGGGCCTCCTGCTTGCGCAGGGAATTATTAATATTTCTTTAATGAACTGATAGCATGATATGAATGTTGAAGGGACGATCACAAATACATCCATGCTCGAGTCGGGATTTGAACCCTTCTTGCAGGAACTAAAATACGAAATACTGCCAGCGATACTTAGAACGTGCGTGGCTGGTACGTGAGTTCGCGGGTCGCAAGCAGGCCTATAATGTTACAAAAGATAGCGCCGATGTTCGCGCTTTCTTCAGCGGTCTGCCATAGAGCTGCATCGCGCTCCGATCTCGATCCTTTCCTCGCAGATATTTCCCGCCAAAGACCATTATTCAGTTGTTTCTTGACACCGACGAGAAGTCGAGTCAGCGACGAGGCGAAGAGTCGTTCACAGTTCACGGCCGCAGCGCGCGGAGCATTCGTTCCCCCCGGTTTCTGGCCCCGCACATCCACGCCCCCGCACATCCACGCCCCGATGTGATATGGCACATCATCTTCAATATTCTAGTTGTAGGAAGAATCCGAAAAAAATTGAACTTCGCAATTTTTTAAAATTTAGGGATTTCTATGCAAACGGGACCTAAGCTATTTTTTAAGTGACTTTGCGGTATTCGGGGCAAGGTTTTAAATGAAACTAGTGATGCCCCAACAGCACATACTTTCTTACATTACTGGAAACAGCAACGTAATATTGAAATATTGCATTTTCTGCGCTACTAACACCTCAGCTATTACTTGAAAGCGTCCTAGTCAACAAAGAAGCGAGCAACGCACTGATCCCAGCGCAGCGTTATCAAAACTATGTGCATTCGCTTGGGTAATAATGTCAATACAGTAATTAGAATATATGCAATTTACATCAAAATAATTACGAAAATTCTGGCTGTTCACTCCTGGGTTGTTTTTCGTAGCAAGATAACAGTTCCGAAAACCATTTCATCGTTTTTCTTTTATTCAATACGCAGTAACATTTTTTAGGGACCAGATGATATTAAATGATATACAACATACTGGGCATTATGAGGGGTAATTGACAAAAAACTGCCGCGAAATTCATCGTAAACGGAAGTGCCTCTATACAACATGTATCTTATCACCGCCAACATCTCTACGTTCGACAACAATAAGCTTCACAAATATAGATGCTGCATTGTTGCAATATTTCTATTAACCTTTGCAAGTAGCTTAAAAAATACATCAATACATTGTAAATAGAAATGGAGTAGAAAATTAAAAAAGTCAGAGTGTAAAAATAAAATTACTATTGGCATATTCAAAGTATATTCATAGTAAATTATAATTAAAATTAATTCAATTATTTTTCATATCATTCGTTAATGTTTCCCGTGTCCCGTAGTTTGTGTGAGACCTGTATATATTTCATTAATTTCAAGCAGAAATTACGCAAAAACTACAATTTTTTTTCAAACTGTTATACATGACATTTTTTAAAGAGCTAGTTTTGTACAACAGTCTTTGCCTGAGACAAAAATCTCTGACTCCAAATTTGAAGTTTTAATTTTTTTTCGAAAAATCGGAGACGTTAACGAAAATGAGACCAGTATCATTCTGTAAAAGTCCTTTGCAGTATTGAACAACAACACTTAATCAAAAAAATTGGAACCTTTTCTTTCGAAAATGCCCCAGACGCTTCATGTAAAGAACCTCCCAAAATTATTTTATAGGTTTTAAATCCCAGGGTCCGCGACATCAGCACGAACGATTGGGGAATATTAATTTTAGAGAAAATCGGCTGAACGGCTTATGCGCTAGCGTTCTGCACAGACGGACGGACAGATGTGTTTCCAGGAATCAATTTTTCGGTAGAAAGGACCCACAAAATTAGATTCTGGCTACACCACGTGTAGAGAAAGTTTTGTTCTCCATTTAACAACTGGATTTATCTACTTTTTTTCTTACTTATGCCCGGCAATAAGAGTTTTAGCGTCGAAAATTCGCTGTTTTCGGGCGCACGATACTCTATTCTTGTTAGTAAGTGCAAGAAGGTAAAAATTGGAGCTTTTGAGATACTTTTGAAAATGTTTTTTAGCCTTAATGTATAGTACACAAAAATCAAAATATCCAATTCGAACTCGCAGGGCTTCGAGTCCGTCTAGGTTGAGTGTGGAATATCAATTAATAACCCACAACACATGGATTCTGAGTACACTTTGTGTTGGAGGAAGTAATTTACTACATCTAGGAATACGATTTCTCCACGTTTTCTACACTATGGAGCGTCAATGCGAGTTTTGATTGAATTTTTGTTAGAGTTTCTATTAAAAAATAGGTCACTTTTACTTACCTTGATTACAATATTCTATTTTCACTACGTAAGCATGTAGTAATGTGAGAAAGTAGCAAGCCTGCCCCTTTCAAGAGCAACTGAATCACCAAAATGCCTTACATTTTGGGGGAAAATGGCATAAAAGCACTGGAAAACGAATTAAGATACCAGCGTTGTTTTGCTATATACTTTAATTTAACATTCATTCTGATGAATAATAAAGTGCCACTCTGATATAATTATTCTAGAACCTTTGTGTCCTCCTAACATGAAGTGCTTTTGGACGCCTCCAATAATACTGACATTTAGTTTTTCCGTTCTTCTCTTAGCCTGAAATAAAGGCCAGTATGATCACAGAGTTGTAAAGTCGGCCTCGCATGGCGACAGACGCAGTTGTTAATCATGCTTAACGCCGATCTCCGTCCTCACTTCTCCAGGGTCGTCATAAACCAAAACATTTTCATTCTGCGACCTTCCTCAGGGCTTAATGAGGCTCTTTAAGCCCTGAGGAAGGTCGCAGAATGGCGACCGAAACGTCGGCACCTTCGCCATGAACGCGGAGTCACCCGGACAGCCTAGTAAATACTGACTCCGGCCGCGGAAGCCTACGCTCTCATCTGTCCCCTGCTGTTCATTTTTATTTCAAATAAATGTGTATTAGCCTGTGTATTCGCCAAATTGAACTGTGATGATTGAAGCGTCATTTTATTGAGTGCGGGATAGTTACGTGAGTGCGTTTGTCTGTCCTTAGTTCCAGCACTTCATCGTGGGGCTGCACGAGGCGCAGCTGCTAGTGTACCGGCCGTGCGACTATCCTCTGTTCCCGCCCGTGATGCTGGTCCCGCAGGCGGTGCTCATCATCGTGCTCTTCTTGCGCTTCTACCGACGCGCCTACGGCAGCGCGCCCGAGCAGGCGGAGGCGAACCACAAGGCGAAGGCGGCGTAGGCCTCGGGCCAGCCGCAAGCGAATCCCATCCCGTGCCCGTCAAAGACGTTAAGGCGGAATAAGTGCGGCCGTGTGACTGGTCTAGTGTGTTGATGTACAGCATGAGTGAGCAAGAATGCAACTGACGGGCGACATGCACGCTGGGCAGAGCGGCGGACATCCTCCACGAGAGACACAACGACTGGGGAAGGGGCAATAAACCATGTTCATACACTTATACGGTTGTTTGGCACGTTTCCAAGCTGAGGTCATGAAAATCTGTAGTTTCGCGGCTGAGATTTCGTGTATTGTGGCCTCTGGGTTAAGGGCAGGAGAATGACTGCCCGAGCGGACTAAACCCTGCCCGCTCCTGATGTACGGGGATACGGATTCGCTTACAAATTCGCTCATGAACGAGACCTTTGTCACTCAAGTTCAATTATCTTCGGCAAGTACATCCAAAAAATCAGGAAATGAATCAATATTTAAAAAGGTGAAGTATTCATGGATTTGATTTAACAGAAGTTTTAAATATAAAAAAAAATATTTGCTAAACGTTGTCAATAATCAATTAAATTTTAAGATTAAAAAACTAATTTATGATGAATAATAAACTCAGCCGACCGTGATATTAATAATTAATATAATCTTGGTATTATTACAAAACTAATTGTTTTCATTTTTTTGTATTTTGCTTGAAAAATATATCTATTATTGTTTTCACCTTATTGATACATAGGTGTTACGATAAAAATTCAACCTCTTCGAGAATTAAGTATTACATCAAATGCTTTCGAAACAGGTCCTTAATATTTAAATTGCTTGCTTCGCCAGTACGTGTATATTTCTCGTGGTTCAACCTTCCTCGAATCTCAAGAAATTGCCTACAATTACATCTATGCCTACATCGATTAACGCCTCTATTCTAACGCTTTCACTCAAATACTCATACCTTATGTAATCAATAATAGCATAATTACAGGAACCCGTCGGTTTATTTTGGTATAGAAAGTGAGTATTTGAAGGCGGAATTTAGAATTTTAGCAATTTCGTGAGAAATATGGCCATTATCCTCCCTACTTAAGGAGTGGAAAAATAACACAGAAATAGTATTATATTATTACTACATTACTTGCTTGAAGTGGCGTCGTCGAGACTTTGCACAGTTTTAAAATCGATTTCATATTTATTAATTTAATACTTTTCTTAGATTAGAAGGATACGGAAAATGTCTAATATCCAACCAGCAGACCCACAGGTATCCAACGACACCTCACTTGCCCCAAACTGTGGATAGGCAAGGATACGATTTCATCCCATCGCGTCGCCTTCTCCATAATTCTGTCTCTATTCGCGATATTTTTTTTAAATATAAAAATAATAATTTTCTCGAAGGGTACAAAATATTACCGAGACGCATTGCATGACACTTCGCATGCCCCAAACCATGGAACGTAAGTGGTCTAACCCTGAGAGGCGGACGGACACGTACACACTTCTGTACATTCTGCGCATGGTTTGCGAGAAACAATCGATCAAATTTAGAACGTGATTCATAAGGCTCTGCAAAACATTTTCCATTACAATTAGTAATAATGGAATGCTGACAAAAAAACTGCCAAAATATTAACTGTCAATAAACAATAAAGTGAACTGAGGTTGGTGATGTATAGAGTAATGCCACTCAAGTATCTCTAATCAATGACGATGTTTGTGTATATAAGTCATATTAAACTTTTATACTTGCTTTGTCAGTGACTGGCAACACTGCTTCTTCCAGCAGAGGAACATTGTTATTGGAATTCATTATTATAGTTTCATCTCTTGTAATACGTTTTTATACATCAAATTGACATTTAAAATTGCGTCGTAGATACCTAAATATATTGTATATTCAACGTGGGAAAGCCATCCAGGAATTATCTACAGAAATAATAATTTTATTTGAGATTTATATGAAAAATAAGCTTCAAAAGCTTGTTTGTTGATAATTTACCTTACATGATGTATATTTTGTGTTCAATTGTTTTGAAGACATAATTTATAATATAAAAAAATATTATGTTATTGTATATTTATAAAAGAATTCATTGCTTTCATTGTAATAAAATATAATGAAATAAACCATTTTAAGATCTAAATCGGTTAACTTTCTATTATAATTTTCATTTCCGACCATTCCTTGATTTTGTGAGTGGTAATGAAAGAAAGGTTACTACAAGCGCACAAAAGTCACGACAGAAAAGTACAATTAACTCTTTGTGGAATACAAATATTAAGTGGGAAGTCTCTCTCTACTTTCCTAACCTATATTTTGTATCGTGGACTCTTCAAATCTAGCAATATCCTTTTGTGCTCCAAGCAACGGATCTTGGAATTTTAATTTCTTGTAGAGACCTCTGTTGGCACTCCAAAGGACTTTCACAACTTGAACTCGGAGATGGCTCTACTTCGTATGTTTCTTGTTCCACAACTACAAAGGTAGAGAAGATGATAACCTCAGCCTGTAGATGTTAATCGAATGAACGCGAAATAATATACTACATACCACCTCAAAAAAGTGATACTATATTTCAATTTGTTAGAAAGCATATGATTCAAGTATGGTAGGTTTATCATGAGAAAAAATGATTTCACAATTCTACAATTTAAATAAAATCATGTAGCATTAAGATCATAATTACATAATAAACAACCATTTTCTACAAATCTAAATACATTAAGGTCACTACATGAGACTTAATGTCAAGTACATTTCGTAGAAATCCGGAATAAAATACTATGCATTTTAAAAAATCGTAATGAAAATGTGAAACGACAAACATTATTTAGGATAATGACTGGTTTGCAAAAACCGTTTACCCGCGAAAATGTTTTGACTCTTATACGAGAATGGTGTCGTATGTTGGCTCAGAATTTAGCTCATATCTTGAAATACAATTTCTTACATCTTCATTTCCATTGCTTTAAGGGTAGGGTCAGGAGTGGCTTCTAGCTTTATATTCTCTAGAGGCCAGTAAAATAATTATAGTCACGTTACTTTCACACGACTATTTACGATTAATGTTGAATTACGAATAATATTAAATGATATGTTTACTCATATTCTTTGGTAACAAATATAATTTTGAAGTAGGTTGTTTAGATAGTAAACTTTCACATCAAAACTTATTTGAGTTTATTGAAAAACAACCCTCCAACATACTAGAAACTTTTATTATATTAGATAACTTTTTTCTTTCATGATTTATGATTATCACAGAAAAATACTTGTTCAGAAACAAGCTACATAAAATAAATAATCCGCATGACTTCCTTCAAGTACTTTAGCGTCAAGTTTTCTTCACGCAAGTATATACACCTAACCAAAGGCCTCACCTAATAAATACCGCTAATGGATTGGGTACTGTATTCGAAGGCCACTACACAACCACTATATGTTTGGCTACGTTGGGGCTTCTGCGGATAGCAATTACATTTTTCCAGTGCGGCTTTTCAGCTTGACTGGGCACCCGCTTGGAGGGCCATTCACGAGGGCGAAGAACGCTTTCTTCGCAGCCATATCCTCCGTAGACGCAGTAGGTGCTTTATCTACGGAGGTAGCGGCGTTCCTCTAGAACGTTACATCCGGTGACGACCTAGACTGGGAGAGGTGACCCAGAGCACCAACTGACGACAATGCAGTGCCTATAATTGGGAGGTGCTAGAATCGATTCTCAAGATGACAGAATTTTTGACACTGGCTAGATTTAATTCATCCAATATCTGTAGAAGAATTCTAGCGATCAGCTGCTCTGATCGGTAGTTTTCCGTAGTTTCTCAGATCAACACCAGACGAATGACGGAGCAGTACCCTAACAAACGGGTCACTGACCACGCGTGATCTTTCCTTCCCATTCCAAGTCCCAACCTATACCTTTCTTACACACACACACACACATACACACTTACACTACATTACCACGTATGTCGGAAGCTTAGAGCATATCCCAGCTGGTGCGATGCCCCGCTGGTGGGTGATACCAGGTTGGGGGAAACCCCGCTAGCCGACGGCGTCGAATCTCATCAACCAGCGGGGGAAGAACACAGTTACCGCGCAAGCAAAAACATGCATCACTTATGGGACTAATAACCTAGGTACTTGACGCGCTCTGAATCACTAATCAAACAAAATGTGAATCAAGCGACGACCTATACTACGGCTTGCGTGATATTCTTCCAGATGTCTCCACCAGAGGGGCACCACGCCAGCCCCCGGATGAGCTCCATGCTCCCGATTGGTCTCCCGACAGGTATTGTAGTGCGTGGAAATTGATGTAGAAGTGATAGTGTAAGAAGAGAAGACGCACAAGTGTGAGAAAGGGAAGATCGCTCATTGTTGGCGGGTATTGTATGGCGGAGAAAACGTTATTGATGGCAATTATTGTCCCCCTACAATGGTCTCCCCTCAGTTTCCCTACAATGGTCCAAAAATGGAAGCAAAAATAATGTGAAATATGTACATAGTTGTGTTTCTCGAAAAAATCAAATGATGATGACGCTATTTCTCATGTACTATAGGACACTTGCGTATTTCCCACACACGCGTAATGGTCAAAGTTAATGGAAAATTCACTCAAGAATCAAAGATCATCTACTGTGAATCAACAAAACAATATTTAAAATATCTCTCATCAGTTTAATTTACAGAATATGCATTTTTTTATTGGTCAAATACACTGTTTCAGTTTTACCCTGTGGATAAAAACACTCCATGATTCTACGCACATTGTAATATTGTGTACCGTTTCGTGTGGTTGAAGTGTGATTTGCCATATATGACCTGACTGAATAGGCAGCGTGTCTTTGACAGCAAAATCAAATCGCCAGAAACCTAAAACTTCCAAAGTAATTTTATTTATCAATACTAGGGCCCAAAGCACATACCTTCTCAAAGTATTGATATCAGTTTCAAAAGTTCAAACTAGAACTGTACCTTCAAACCTGCTAAACTAGTATTTGTTTTTACTATTGGAGATAAAACAGCTCATTCGTTCTCTAATAATTCCTAAATTTGAAATTTTTGAAAGGTTAAACAGCCAAACGAAAATGAAATGTGCGCCATTCTACGTATTAAACCATTAACGCCCAAATTAATTTTGCGCACATAACACTTGCCCATTGCCATTGCGTGCGTGCACGCATTGTTGGAGCCCTGGAGCATGTTTTTGCAAATTAGTGCTAACCAATTATTTTGTTGCCAAATAATTGCTACTACTGCGCTCCAAAGCGCAAGACCATAACAAAAATAATATCTGACAATAAAACATTTTAAGAGTGAAAAACTCTGACAGAAGAGTAAGTCGTGACACGAGTGGGTTTGACTACATTTCGAAATATTTCACTTGTGTATGTTTACGGTTCAACTTGAAGAGATATTTCATGGACGAACTTCATATCTTAAAAACAGGACTTGCGACACATAGAGCTTCGATTTCAGTTTACAAGTTCTTGTGCAGTTCGAGGTGGAGAATTCCATTCGTTTAAATCATTTGCATGTTGGTGGTGTTGATAAGATGTGGATGGTATTTGCTGGTGTATGTTGTATTCTTTGTTGAAACAAATTAAGGAATATTTTCTTTACATCGGAATATCAATGTTAGATAAACACAGATTAACTTGAGTTCTAATTACCCTTTATTATGATTTAATTTCATCTCATTTGTTTTAAAATTAATTTTAAGGAAACAATTTCACTACAAAATGGATTTTTTTAAAATTCTCCCTGTGCGCTTATTATATGTATACTTGCGGAACTCGGCAGAAGTTGTTCTGCCCTTGATCTCCCTCTTTCTCCATCTCTCTCTGTCTCTGTCCCATTCATACACATTTAGACGCAGATTCTCCAGGCCTCTGAACATGTGGGATCGAGAAGCGCACGACGGCAATATGTAATAGAATGTTCAACGAACTCATCCAGCCGTACCTGTGGCCGAGATCGTAAAGGCAGGAGTGCCGTTGTGATCAAGGACAGAAGTATCGCGGGTTACAGTCCCGCCTCGGGCATGGATATATTTGTGTTCGTCCTTTCACTCCCTATTATCATCGTATCATACCATAACGTTAAATCTAAAAGTTTTCGCTAATGGCCTTGATGCGACCTAAAATAACAAAAAACCGCATCCTGTAGATTCCGGCGTGAGAGTTTCATTTAGGAATTTGGCCTCAAAATTTTAGTTTTTAATCCTCTAGAATGCTTCTTTTTGGAGTTATACAGAGTCAAAAATCTTGCAGGGTGTTGCTGGTTGCATTTGACGTGAATAGTTAGTAAACTATAGGGCATCTAATACAGTTTGTGTATGTGAGTCAATGGCGCTGTCGATTTCTAGCCTAGTTGCAACTAAGGGTAGTGAAGGTCTGTCATCTAGTCTAGCATCTGATATCTGATCTGATCAATTTACATTACATACATGATACGGTTGAGCGGGCAGAATTTCTTCTGGGGTTGTGTCGAGTGAAAAAAACACGGGGCAATGATCGGATTGCAGAGCGATATGAGTCTCGACTTGAATGTTACAACTAATGTTAGAAACGGCGAAGTCGAGAAACTTCAGATTGCACTGTCATGCGGTAGGGATAGTAGCTGGATGCATCAGAAGCACGCGCTGCCATATTTAATCGTTGTATATATGCAAGCAACAAAAGGACTAGCAGGTGAATTTAGTCCACTTCCCCAAGCAATATGTTTGCATTGCAATCGTCGATCACTAATATGGGTTGATGGGAACAAAATATGGTACCAATATCACTTGGTCTATACGAAATATTGCGGGGCTTATAAATTCAAGTGATTATTAGATAGATTTAAATTTCTGTTGAATAGCTGCACTGACATCTTCAGAAGTATTTATATTTAAAGGTAGCTGGTGACGTGTTGATTTTTGTCCAAAATGGAGACTACTGCTGCACTGATTTCGTAGTCGGTCATCGATATAGAATATAGCCGGAAATATAAATGTTCATAGAAGGGCAAAGTTGGGTTTCGGAATGAAAGTTACTTATAATTTCTTATTATGCATCTAAAACTAAAAAAACAGCACGTACATTCTCGCCATTAGTAATTGTTATGTTCTATGCTATTTATACCACAATTTCTCTCCGAATTAGTTTTTTCACAATTCATTTGAAATCGTAGAACATTTGGTGCGAAAATAAATAGAATGCGAAAATGTAAAATAATTAAAAGTTAATAAATAATACGATACTGATAGCGTTGGAAAACAAATCGAAATATTAGTAATTGTAATTATTATACACTGTGGTATTGTAAATGTTCTACAAATATATAAAGGTATCCGTTTTTATAATCGCGAATGAAAAGAAGCCGTCATTTACGCCTTTTTTTTACGTGTGCGGTCTTACAAAATGGGTAACAACAACCAACAATGACCGCTCATCTATTTATCTTCACATTTAACACATTTAAAGGACGCAATTTAACAATGAAGTAACATGAATAATAAAATGAAATACGAAATAATATACAAATTGTAACTTACGTTGCAACTAAATGCGTAAATCTGAAGTGGGCGACTGAAGGCCACAATTTTCTTTTTTATAATTTTTAAACAGTTTTAAATAATTTCTAAAAGATCAATTTGTAACCGTATAACAAAAGCTCCAATATAAACAACGAACAAAAGAATATGAAATACTATACAAGCGTAGAAAGAAATATGAAATACTATACGGAGCATCCAACTACCTCAAAACACCTAAAACTACGATAAGGAAGCGTAAAATTTTTCGGAGAAGGCAACTAACTATGACGCCGAATTACTCCAAGGATATTCGTATTTTCGAAAAATTCAGTATGACCTTATTTGAAAATCTGTTTTTGATAAACACATTTCTTTTTTTAATTATTAATAATTGTATTTGTAGGAAGATGCTGAAAAATTCTGAATTTATCAATTTTCGAAATATTGGAGTTTTCAACCAACATGAGACCTACACCATTTTCTTAGATATTTTTGACTATCCATCTACAAAATATCATCAAAAGAATCAAGTTTTTTTTGAGAAAAAATGTCGAAACAAAATTTCAAATTGACTATTTCACGGAAAATCACTCAAAAATACCTTATTTCGAAATAGGACTTAAAACAGATATTAGTAAGGAAAAATCTCCATCTTCAATATTTTAGTTAATAAATAGTAGTAAAGGAAGACGCCAAAAAGTATATTGATTTTTTTTCAATTTACGAAACAATTACAGTTTTTAACCAAAACCAACCCTTTTTTGTCTTAAACAACCTGCAGACTATCCAACAACAAAATTTAATCAAAATGGATGGAGCCATTTTTCTGAAAATTTTGAAAATGTTCCAGAAGCTTGATACAAAGTACCCACCATAATTAGAATATGAGATTCAAATCATAGAAGCCGCGTTATCAGTAGATTGTGGTATATTGTGGTATATCAATTTTGGAGAAAATCGGTTGAACAGTTTAGCCGCTAGCGTTGTTCACGGACTGACAGACAGATCGATGAGCAAACGAACAGACGTTTTGCCGTTATTCAATTTTTTGGTTTTAACGACCCACAAAACAGGGATTATGCCTACACTTCGAGTTAGAGGATTTTTTTCTCTAAATTTAGTGACTGGATTTTTAGTTACTAGTACCTTCCCTGTAATAAAGAGTTTTTTGTCACAAATTCGCCGTTTCTTCGCGCAGCATTACATAACTTTCTCTTCTTCAGAAGTTCCTTCTTAAGTGCAAGAAAGTAAAACGTCGGCTAGCATGTGAATATTAGTTTTAATACAGTTAACAGCCGAACGCGCTAACTGGCTGGAGCGCCATGGCGGCGACGCTGGTCGAATTCGTTTACTACGCACCGGAAGTCACGGAGGTCAAGCCAATTCGAGACTCGCCAGTACTTCAATACGCGTATTGGGCGCATTGAAAGCTGGTTGGTACGTTTGGCAGCAAGCATTAACATGTCTCCGAGAACCAGCGCTTCGAAACACATGAAACAAAAGCGTGAAGAGCGTAAGGAGAATGTATATTTTCGTCCAGACAAAGGTAACCATGACATTCTCTTCAATACTTAATGATTTTTACAGCAAGGTATTAATCTTGTCCATTAAGTGTCGTCTTTTCAGAATTTTCTCATCTGACGAGAACACAGCCAGGCGATACTCAGATCTTCTCTCGTCGCAGTTTCTGCAAATTCTCTTCCAATCATCTAAGCAATATTTCGCCACCTCAACAACCAGGTTAGCAAAAATGTTTTCTCCGAGCAGGGATTATCATTGATATCCTTAGAGTTAAAAAAAGCTTTTCACTCTTTCAAAATTCACTTTACTCCTTCACTCCCAGCCCAACAATTTCATTAATGAGGAAAAATTTATTTAGCATCACCATTGTAATTTTGCGACGTTCATTTTTTGTTTGAAATTTTCAAAAAATATTGAAATTTCTCCAAAAATGTCACGTGCGATATTTAAGCTACTCTTGATTCGAGGGAATTGCTATCAATTGTTTTGTTGGAACTAAAATCTCGACTGTCAAATGTTTTCGAATTAAATATCCTTGCAGAAATGGTTAAAATTATATATTTACGATCACGAGTTAGAAAAATGACTTAAAACAAAAAGGTATCATTAACAAGCACAAATGTGCTGAATAAAAGATCTCACGTGAAATTGAATTATTCGTGGTTTAAATTGATTCATCTTCCAAAAATTCACCGCCCCAGCCGGGTTTGAAACAGTAAAAACTCGGGCTTTGAAAGACAATATGATATAACTCCCAATCACTGGGCATGCATACATGAAGTAATAGCACTTCAAACACAACTGGCGTGAGCGAAGGAAGTGAACTGCTCGCGTAATAAGTAGGAACGCGTGTGCGCACTTGGACGGCCACGCAGTCAACGGGGAGACGTCGCAGAGGCTACAATTCCTGGCCACCGCGCGCGAGGACGCGAGGACGTGAGGACGCGACGAGGACGGCGGCCCCCGGGACGCCGAGGACGCCGGGAGTGCCGATTCTGTCGCCATGTTCGGGGTGGAGGAGTTCCTGACCAGCGTCCACGGTGGGTGGCTGTTCCCATGATCCCAACACGCGCCTGACCTAAATGCACGCCATGACACGGTGGAAAACGGACACTCGCGCGTGCGATTTGTGATTCAACGTGCTTCAATGCCAGAACGTATTAGTGAACAGATGCTAGGTTACCTTACGGTAATTCAAGGATCCAAATTGACTGACGCGTTAACACCGAAGAGCAGAATCAGTTATTCCCTTTTCTCGATTTCATTCAGAGGGAGAAAGAGTTTTCATCAACGGGAAATGATACAATCCTCGTCCAAAATAATGCTTTTTTTAAAATCATTTTCTCTTCGTTTAGAAATTCAGATGGTCACCATTAATAGAATTCAAAAACAAGATATTACCAAAAAATGACGCCAAATTTTTTCTTCAAACTTTGGGTTATCATAGTCCTAACATGACAAAACCAAATTGCTCTATTCTTTTGATTGTTTTTTTCAAACATTCGAATGGATAGTGGTAATTGCACCCTTTATTATGACGTAAAGTTAATCGGTGTATTTTGTTTATTTTTTCAAAAATTACTCAAATGTAAAGTTTTTGAAAGATCACTCCCGCCGTTGATTTTCAGCAATTTGTAAACACTGTTGTATTTGTGAGTTAATGTACTGAAAATGACTTCAACTTCAGTTTTTCTAAAACTCAAAAATATTCTGTGAAAAGGTGTTACAAATTTCGAATTTACAGTAGCGCTTAAACGCTAGGTTTTTAAAAATGGCTTCAAATTTTTGAACGAAAATGGCCATTTAGTCTGCTGTTTTACTGTTCTTTAATAATCTTAAAATAATATTTCTGATCTACAATTAGGAAAGCGAAAAATGAAGAAAATGTCAAAAAATATACTTTGAGTGGCGATAGATGTCAGCAGGCAAGAATATGTAGCAAGTTCGAATAGCTAACCGAGACCAAAGGAAATAGAAAATTAATGCGGGAAAGTCAGTGCCATTCTGTATCTCTACTAGTTATGTATGATTTCTTGCAACGGAAACAGTAGTACATAATGTTGGTATACAAAAAAATTATGGGAAGTAATTAAATAAAAAATCGCCTAGTTTTTGTTTTGCTACAAGTACACTATTACATAAGATAAAACAACGTGCTGTAAGAGACACACCCGTTAAATATTCAGGCAAATGATATTTGCATTTTGCTTGTAATACAACTAAAAGTTTTGCACTATTTTCCATAATTGTTTTAAAAATTTAGCGGGCAGGCAAATCGTTCTATTTCGTATTAAATAATACACTACATTACTGCAACAAGCGATAATCAGATGACGTCACGAATCATATAAAACCGGATGCAATTTAGATATGTTAATTTATTTTCAGTTGTTTCTAATGCCACTTCTTTGCAAACAATTCCTTTTTCCAATGACCTTCATATTGAAGTATTTATTTTAGTAATATACACGCAAATAAAATACTATTTAAATAAAGGTAACGTAAAAATAAAATATACTGGCATTACAGAAGTTTCATAACAATCCGGACTAATATTATATCTAATTCACTATTCACAGAATTCGTGTTTATCCACTTTTGGTTGAGATTACCTCAAAGACGTTTTCCAACGTAAAGAGTAAGGTAGTTTTCAAGATTATTTTCGATTTATTTACATAGCTCTATACGTATTAGTATTATCATTGTGTGACTGATTACTCAGTTTAGAAAATATGATCCTACAAAACATCATTCATGAAAACTCTGCCTTCGTCTCACAGGAATTTCAATATCAAACGACAATGTTAATATGCTGAGACACGCTTGCATCATACATTATACGTATTCAATAAGTCGTTGAATATTAAACAACTAGTAAATGTCACAAAAATATTTGAATAATTTAGTATTCCAGTCTTTCACAAGATTCCTAAGAAGGATTGTTCTTTTCAACTGAACGAAAAAAGAAACGAATTAATTTTAAAATGTCATTTTACTTGTTTATACTTTTTAATTTTGGGTAAACCAGCGTGAATGTTCAAAACAGGACAGACAATACTTGAGAGACTATAGGTAGTACAATGCGATTTGCTTCTACGCGGCCCTTGTCTAACCTTCAACGTGTATGCTAAGGAAGATTGAATTTTTTGATTAATTGTTTCTCTAAAATGGCTCCCTTTTGTTCTTTACATATTTTATTTTAATACACTTATAATGAACGCATTGCACTCGCGTATCCCATTATCAATTTTCAAAAATCCAAATATCCAATTTTCAAAAATGTTAAAGTTTGACTTTGTTAACCCTCCTGTTATTAAATATTGAGATTTTTTCTTCAAATGAAATTTATTCTCCACGATTAGTTGTTTAATTAGTTATTTACATTTACTGAAAATACAAGCCACTTCGCGCAATTTTGAGTGAATAATGAGCAATATTACAATATATTGAAAATAAGATTATAAGAAAAGGCTCCAGTTTTTACTTTTTGTACATACGGTGATAAATTTATTGAATATTATGACATAAATTCAATTTCGATTTCGTCTTCTGAGTTTCCAAAAATTACACAAATTTTTGGTATTTCACACAAGTATTTCTTTTATTTATTTAGTAGTTATAATTTACATTATATATATTTTTATTGCTTAATATATTTTTTTAATACAGAAGCTTCAAAATATCACTAATAATGATTTCTCAAAAATCAATAAGTTCTTGAGTGTATGCGAAGTAAAAATGGCATATTTTCACAAACATTCCAAACAAAGTTTCTCAAAAGCTGCTTGAATTCTTTTCTCTAAATTAATGTTGAAAAAAGTTCAATTTACACGATATTCGAAATGTATATTTTATAATATCAATGCTAATATTATAATATCAAGAAATTCTGGACCCGAAAAATAAAAATAAAATCCTCAAAAATGTGTTTTTTAATCAAACACTTCGTTAAATATACAAATGTACAAAAACGGAAAAGAAAACTATAATGGTAAGTGAAATATCTAATAAATATCGTCTTATAACGGTTTGTAAATATTAAGGAATACGTAGATGCCTTTCGTGACTTCGAGCGCTTACGAAATGGCATGTGATGAAGATAGAAATAAACAATGTATTTACTTTGAGCAAATCAGAAATGTTTCGAAGATTCAATGTAAGAATCATGAGTGGAATATTGAAAGCATAATATACTTATAGAAAGGTATATTTCTTCCTGTAGCTTAACAGAGGTTTAGTATTATAGTGACTATACAATAAACATACAAGTATGTATTTCATATGCATATATTCGAAACGTTTTATTACAGTGAATTTAGTTCGTGTTGTGATATGATCGGGGGTACTTATTCGTTAATATGCATTAGTTTTAGAATTAACAATAACATAAATGTATGTTTTAGTAAAGTATGGTTATCTTCAGAAACAATTTCATTAATATTCATGTGAGGGAAACAGATATATGAAATGTGCTGGGGGAAGCTATCTGAACTATTTGGTAAGCCAGTTTGTCATCATTAATCTCATCAGTGTCCCTCCCACCGGAAGACGCAAATTATTAGTTATATGTAAATAATAATTAATATGTTATACGTACAGTAACAGGGTCGAGATTGGCCTTAAGCAGCGTTCGGAGTGCTCGAAGGTGGTTTGCACGGGAAATGTCCTCAGAGGAGTGGAGCGTACAGCGCGAGGCCCTGGTAGGCCTTTTAGGCGCCAATAGATGGCAGCTGGCGAGAGGGAAGAGCAAACCCGAAATGCTTACCCAGATGCAAGAGAATGAAAAAGGCTGTTGCATTCTGTAGCCCCACAATTATATAGGTTTCACTCTAAATTTAGGTTTAGTTTCCGCCAATTTCATAAATAAAGACGTCAAAAATCTTATTAGTAGTGTTAAGCTAGAAGACAGTGTAGTAACACACACATTTCGCAGATATCTAATAAACCCTCCCCCTCCAACACGTTTTTACTCTAGTATTATTTGTGTATATTCTAAAAGGATCATTCTAAAATTGTGCTGAACGATTTGTCTTGATGGGAAGAATCCAACGAGACATTACTTATCTCGGTTGGCACACAACTCCTCAAGACGAAATTTTGGTTCTTAAATCTCGTAAAACTTTTTTCGAGAATTCTTTGAGAATATTCTAAAATGAAAAAAGGAATTGTGGGTTCCCTGCTAGTCGACCAGCACGAATCGAATGTTTTATCAATTGCACAAAATGTTGGACCGACTGAGTAACTGAAGGACACGTGGTACGAGCCCACAGTACACGCGGGATACGTAGCAATATGAGAGCAAAGAGGATGTACTTTCTAGTGTGAGATGACTTGAATTAGTACGAGCGATTTTTAGAATAACCATTCCTATTGTTGAAATCTCATGGCAATTATGTGCAATATTGAAATGAGTGTATCCGTATTTAATGTATTGAATTTTACAGATCGGCGGCAGGAGCAATATGCAACCTCGGCAAGCTTCTTTGGAAGCGTTCTTACGGCCTACCTGACGCTCGTGTTGGTCTTGGGCCCTTTCCTCATGCAGAAACGCTTACCATACTCCTTAAGGAATACCCTCGTTCTCTACGACTTGGTGAAAATTGCTTGCAATGTCTACTACTTCCACAGGGTAAATTCTGTGTTGATTATTCTAATGCTCTTCAACTATGCTCAATTCTTTGAAATAGAGACGTTTCTCTCTGGCGGGGATTTCCAGACGCAATTAAAGATATTACTAAGAACCACGAATATTTTCTTAAGAATGCGTGAAAGATTCTTTATGATACTAATAAAATAAGTATTGAGTGTTAAATTTTTATGTACATAAATAGACACATTGATGTTTTTCTGTTTATCAGTTTAGTTATTGAGTATATGGGATATATGGTTAACTGACAATTGCTGATTTGAAAAAAATGAGGAAACTGTTTTTCGTAATTGTGCCATTTTGACTACAGTAATTTATTCTTTACATTTTTAGTGACAAAAATGTGTATTATATAATATTAAATGCTAAATTATAGAACACATAAAGTGCAATTATTTTAAAAACGAATCTCATTTCTTGGAGTTCTTGGAAATGAAATAATCTAAAAGTCAGTGAGATAAAATCACCTACAAAATACGGCGATGAAGTTTTCAGCAAAAATCAAGCCAGCTTCATGGCTCTTTTCCATGCTTAGAATTGAATCTGAAAAGTGGCCAAATTATTACTTCATGGATATATTGCCGACAAATAACCATTGAAGAGATACTACCCTCAAAAATTATTTTCGTTTTATTACTGCACTCATATGTGTCATTATCATCTCAATTATTTTAAAAATATTGTCGTTAATCAGACCACCTTATGCGCAGATTGCAACTATATTTTTTTGGAGTGATACTAGTTTCTGGTGTCCACCCGTTGGATTTGACACCACAGACGATCAGACTAAGTTGGTATGTATATTTTCTTACTAAACTATTTCGCTTAATTCTTAAAAAATGTAATTCACTTATGTTCTTTTTTCATATTTGTACAGTATTTCCTCGTGTACATTCCAGAGAGTATCATGTGAATGTACTGTAGAACTGCAGATTTGTCAGTGAATGCCCATGCCATGGCATTTAAGCCTGATAGCATAGCTGATGGTGTGAGTAGGGCCCACCACATATGCCATCTATTTGAGGTGGAAAGCTTTCACTTTTTGGCCTGCGCAATGTTTACGAAATTTTATCTTTAAATAGAGCACGAAAGCACGATTTTTAATTTTCCTCTAACTTGAAAATTGTTCATCTGTTTTAATTATCATATTAAGTTTCTATCTTTGTTAACTTAATTTTGAAAAAAGTTTGTAGCTCAATCATCTACATTTTGTTGAAATTTGATATTTGTTTAGGATTAAAACTAGTGGTACTACAATAGCACACACTTTCTCACTCATAAGCTTTCAATTTTAGAATATTCAGAGAATTCATTAAAAATGAGACCCGCGCTATTCTTTTAAGCATCCTTTTTACTATGGGTGGAAACAGTTTAAAGAAAAAAAACTGGAGCCGCTTTTAACAAAACAATATTTAAACAAATTTTAAATTGCCTTTAATTTGTGCCAAATTACACGACAACTAGTTTTCGAAAAATTGAACATACACGTATTTAAAGATCCTTCTTTAAGATAAAGATTTAATTAGAGAAAAAATATCAATCTTCGATATAACTATTGTTGGAGGGCACCCCTCCAAAACTGCACTTTTTTCAATTTTCAATTTTCTGGAATTTCAACACACATGGAACCTGTGCCATTCTCTTAAGCTATTCGAAGATAAAGTTTTATTTTAAAAAATTGTTCCATGAAATATTTTGAAAATGATATTGAGGATTCATGTAAGGTCACCTCAAAAACCTCTTGAAAGTCCCAAACCTTCGAGTTCGTTAAGATCGATCTGGGAATATCAATTTTGAAGAAAATCGGCTGAGCGATTCAGGAGCTAGCGTTGACCCAGACGAACGAACAGACAGACATACAGACGTTTTGCCGCCAATCGATTTTTCGGTATCATGGGACCACAAAATATGGATTCTGGCGACACCAAGTCTTAAAGGAACTTTTTTAAAAATATATTTAGCAACAGGATGTATTCACTTATTTCTTACCAGGGCCCGTCAATAGGGGTTTTTCTGTTAAAATTCGCACTTGCACTTGCACGAATATATATATATATATATATA